TGTATGTATTCCTCTCTCAGGGCCTGTCTTTATCCTCCTCTGCCTGGTATGTCTTTCCTCATGTGTCCCCTCTCTTTGCCTGAGCCTTTCCAATTCTACTCCTGTTTTTCTTTTTGAGTGGCCTGTCTTAATTGGTCCACAGTGCTCACTTCCCTGCTGGCTACTGTTCATAGATTTAGGCCTGAGCTGTGAGGCTGCGTGATTACTTAACTTACAGAGTCTTCATTTCATCATATGAAATACTGGGAACAAATATAATCTTTAAAGTCCATTCTGATGTACAACTTCTAAGATTTTTAATGAAGACTTGAAAACTTTTTGGAGAAGGAAAGGAGGGAAGATTAATTACGGAAATAATGATGTCATATCGTTCAAAGAGTAACACTTAGTATATTTCTAAAAATAATTAGAGCTTCCCCAATGAAGGAAATTTAAAAGAAATGATATGACTATAGAAATTTAAAAGTAGCATAATCAAAAAGATACAAGGAAACAGTAGAATGATGGATAAAGAGTTAATGTTTTAAAGCATAAAGTGCTTATAAAATCAGCATGTGACAGTCAGGCAAGTGATGTAAATGAGTGAATCGGGCCCATGCTGTAGACTTGTGTGAGTAGCAATGTTGTTGGACTCAGGAGCGGGTACCTTTTTGAAGGAAGCAGCTGCTGCTCAGCTCCATCTTATTGTTTCCATGCAAGATTATGGGCCTGGTATTTCTAGATCTGATTGTTGTTTTCAAGAGAAGCCAGAAATCCAGATTTTAATATGAAATCTGCTAATTTTTGTAAGTTGCCTTTTTTTTTTTTTTTTTTAGCACCATGTGAACCAAAACAATATATCTGAGAGCTAGATTTGGCCCTCAGATTGCCAGTGTGTTACCTATCCTATACAACTGGAGAAGACCACCAAGATCCCAAAAGCAAAATTAGCCAGGGGCATAAATATACCAGTGTCCTCAAGAACTATTAATAGAACTAGAAAATATGAAGAGTTTCAGTCTCACTGGTGATTAAGGAAATGTAAATTAAAATAAAATACTATTTTATACCTCGCAAACTAGAAAATAAAGCAGCATAGTCTGAGTTATAGGGTAGCAGGTATAATGATTTATTTTAAATTTATGGCGAGCAACTACATCATCATCAACTGTGAACATTAATGTGGATAATTTTGAAATAGATGGAAATAATTGCTACATTAGGGTAATAATATAAATGAAACTAGTATAAATAAAAACAATATTTACTATTTTTAAAGGTATTTAATAATTGAAAAATAGACTCTTCAAGGACTACTTGTAAAAATCGCAGGACCTTAAAAATGCATTTGCTTTTTCTATTACTTTAGAAATTATGATTGTATGCATTTTTTTATGCCTTTATAACTAGTGTTATTTGTTCCCAGCCTTCCTTTTTCAGCTTTCATGGTGAGGTTTTAGAGTCATTACCTTGACTTCTGGGACGTTTGGAAATAGGGAATACTGCATTATTTCTGCTCTTTAGAACATTCTATTCTTTTGATCTAGTTTATTGCTTGATAGACCCTGGAAAGCAGAATAATGCTTAACTACCTTTTTTTTGCTGCTTGTTTTATAAATTAATCTTTGTTAAGAGATTTCTGACATCATCAGCATCACATCATATGTTTCCTTTCAGCGGCATCTGGAGGTAGCAGAAATAGCAGCAGCCCACTGGCGGTAGTGTCTGTGAAGTCTCCAAATCAGAGTCTCCGCCTTGGCTTGTCCAGATTAGCACGCATTAAACCTTTGCATCCAACTGCCACTAGCAGCTGAGTGTGGTACCAGAGGAATGTTTGGTTGAGAGAATCACAGCTTTCCAAGGGTGTTTATATTTGATTTGTGTTTATAGTCGAGGCAGGTATTGTAAAATAAAGGAATCTATTACCATGTCCTGTAAATGACCTCTAGGCATTTTATGATTATGTTCTCTGTAAAACTCTTCAAGACTTCAATGAGAAGTTTGTTCATAAGAATTCTCTTCTCATGCCTTTCCTTGTGAAGAGCGTATTCTGTTTTTCTATCAGTTCGACATAGAGGAAGTCCACATCCCATGCTGTTCTTTTCTAGTTACATGATGTGCCTTTCTCGCTTTGTCTAGTTTATAGCACCTTGACTTTAACTGTTCAGTTTCGTCTGGCAGAGGGAAACATTCTCGTTTCTCTCCGAAGACATTTCTGAAATCTTATAAGCTGCTTAAGCTACATTATCAGTTTTATTGCAAAGATGTTTTGTATTTTAGCCAAATCTTTTTATAGTACAAACTCGGAATTATTTTACACACTAAAATGGTTGCAGTTTTATGGCATGTGTCTCCTGGTTAGATGGTTATTCTCTAGAAAATAGAATTTAAAGACATTTTATGAAATCTTAATTGTCAAAGCCTTTAATGGAAATATTTTGAAATGCTCTTTTTCTTGATACCACTCATCCACCTGTTCCTGATTGTCCACATTTCATGATAAAATGAGAGCTCTGCAGAGAATGTTAGCCTTTTTGTTGTAAATATAATATTCAAGTAGTCACTTTTTGTTAAGTTCTTTAGAAAGTAGTTGTCAAGTACTTAGTCATCCCTGTTGTGATATTAGATAATACTGCTTTTCAGGAAGCTTAGATCTGAATTTACTTTGAAAAACAATTGTAATGAATAGTTTATATTTACATTGAGAATTTCAACTAGCTTCTGATCAATTTTTAATAAAAAATTTTCAAATCATGTTAACTGTTAAAAAATGTATAATACTTAACTCAGTTTTCCTTGGTTTATGGAAATATCTGTGTTAATGTGAAAATAATTAATTTAGAATTGTGATTAAAGTGAGCATTTGTCTATTGCTGTTGTACACTTTTTGTATCTAATGTATATTTTTATAGTGTCATATACCAGCACCCTAACCTGCCCCACCTGTCCCCTTTTTAAAAACATATTTTTCAGTTACATAGCATTGAGGTTATCTACTTGGTGTAGATCAACAATAAACATAAGAGCCTACTCTATATTGGGTGCTGATATAATTGATTAGTCATCTGGCACCAGCTTAACAATCTGTTTTTGCCATGTTCTTTATAGTTTATCGGGGGGGGGAGTTGAAAATTACCTCAAAGTATGTTAAAACCAGCCTGGCTGAAAGCACCGATACCTTTATGTTGCCAAACCCAGTGTACAATTTTCTCATCTAATCTTACATACCCTATTCATTATACTCTGATGAAAACATTTGATTTCCTTGGCTCAGGTGACACATTTCTTTGTCATTTTCTTCCCATCTCCATGCCTCCTCTTCATTATTTTGCAGCTTTCTAATCTGTTGTGTCATCTATACCTACTTGTCTTACCAGTTTCATGTTGTATGCAAACTCCAGTGGTCACTTATGTGACAGTGACTGCCAAGTCAGGATCTTTACCCTACACCTTGCTCTTGACACAAAACCTGTGGATGGTCCACTGACAATTTGATGTAGCAGATCTGTTATTAAATTCAAGTTCTCCTTCTACCCCTGACATCTTCTCTCCTGTGTTTTCTGTTGGTAAGTGAGTGGCGCCACCATCACTGCAGGTGCCAAAGGTGTAATCCGGGGATCGAGTCTTCTCTCGACTTTCACATCCAATCACCAAGTCTTACTCCATTTCCTAAATTTCTCAAAACTCCTCTTCCATGTGCTCTCCCTTACTCTGAAACATCATCACTCACTATTTCTAACAGGCATCCTTGCCTTGATTCTTCACCTGCTCGGGCTTACCTCCCGCTGTTACTGCCACAGAGGGTTTTCTAAAATAAAGTCAGCATGATCACCGCTCTGCAGCCCGCACACAGCAGCCGTACCCTGGTCGAGTTCATAGGCTACTTCATGTCTGGCTGGCCCCTTCCTGCTGCTTCAATCTTGTCTCTGCCCACGTGCACCTTTGACCCCTGCCCCCCAAACTGGGTGCTGGTGCAACGGTACCAAGCTTTTCCATGACTCTGTCCTTCAGACTAGGACTTGCTTCCTTTACGTAGACAACTGCTACCTGCCCTTGAAGACTCAAATTCAACCCAGCTCTTTCAGAAAGCTTCATTTGAATGTCTTTTCTGCCTGGACCAGACTGTGCTCCTCCAGGTCAACCTACCGTCATTCAATTACAAACTTCCCTTACTCTTCATGCTTTCCTACAATCTGGTGCAAAGTAAGCACTCAAAAAGTGTTCAGCTGATAAATGGATTTTGCCCAGAACTTTTGCTATGTACTTTTTTTCTTTTTTTTTTTTTTGAGAAGGAGTCTCGCTCTGTCGCCAGGCTGGAGTGCAGTGGCGCAATCTTGGCTCACTGCAACCTCAGCCTCCCGGGTTCAAGCGATTCTCCTGCCTCAGCCTCCCAAGTAGCTGGGACTACAGGCGCGCACCACCACACCCCGCTACTTTTTGTATTTTTAGTAGAGACGGGGTTTCGCAATGTTGACCAGGATGGTCTTAATCTCTTGACCTCGTGATCCACCCGCCTCGGCCTCTCAAAGTGCTGGGATTATAGAAAAAATGTCTAAATAGAGACGGGGTGGGGGAGGAGGGGGGGTCTCACTACGTTCAGCAGTTTGGTCTCGAACTCCAGACCTCACGTGGTCTGCCTGGGCCTCCCAAAGTGCTGAGATTGCAGGTGTCAAACCACCGCGCCCTGCCAGAACTTTTGTGATGTAATTCTGATAACCACATGCTGTGCTTGAAGGAGGGGAGAAGAGGGAGAATTTCACGTGTCTGGTCTGGGCAACCACCTTTAAGCTCTTTTTGCTGAGGTTTTGTTCAATTCTTGCCCTATGCTTTAAAGAACTGGGGCAAGAGAATGCGAGTGGGAGGACGAGAAGTATGTTCTTGAGGCTGCTACACTGCAAGGTGGTTTGGGACCATAGCCTGAGTAAGCCCTTTCAGCTCCGGAGTCACAAAAAGGGCGGAAGCCGTTTCTATAGCGACGGGAGGAGGGCGTGGCCGTCCCTTGCACTCGGCCGGGCTCTCCCAGCCTCCCGCAGCGGCAGGCGGTCCGCGCCATCCTCATGCAGCTCCTCCCGCCGCCTACCCGCACCGGAACAAAGTAAGGGCCGCGGAGGCTGGTACTTCGCGTGCGGTCCGGCGCGAGTACCAGCCAGCTAGGGCCGACTGCGCTCTTTTAGGCCACGAAGCTTCTGGTCGACGGGGTCGTGGGGGAGAATGAAAAGCGTGCGGAATGCAAGAGTAGACTGGGGAGTGTGGGTCAGAGAAAGAGAGAGAGAGGCGGGGGGTGGTGCACAGACAAGGAAAATACAGTTGTAGGTTTTGCGACGACTGCATCCCCGGAATCCAACATCAGTATACTTTTCTGTTAAGATGCTGTTGCATCGCCGACTCCAGCTGAGTGCAGGACAGGGAGCTAGGAGTTCTGAGGAACTCATCAGACCTACCTTGGAACTGTGCTCCCAGCCCTCACTGGGACGCGAGACTTTCTTCCTCCCTTTCTTTCTCTTCTTTGCTGCATGTCCTCTTGTCAGTCATAAGTGGGTCCACGACCACACGCCTCGCGTTGGTGAGGCTCTGGCAGGTATTACCCATGTTCCCACCCAGCCCATATGCCTGGGCACCTTTGTACTCAACCACAGCCCAGCCCCTGACACAAAAGCACGCTAAGGTGTATGTAGATCACACACCCAGAGCTGCCACTCCGAGGAAATTCCCAATATTAGCAAATCTTTCCTTAAAAAAGTGATGAACAATGCACAGTTTGAGGGATTTTAAAGGCTGTTCTGTGACATTTGCTGCATTGGAAATGTCCAGCAGTCCCTCAGAGCTTAGGAAAATTGTGACCCCTCTGACATGTCTTAAGCAACCGACAGCATCATCAATATTAATTCAGGCTTCACTGCCCAGGCTTAAGTGGAGACTTGGCAAAAGCAGGAGGCCGTTTAGTGGAAAAGTTCAAACGGTGGAAACAGCAAATGGAAATGTCCTTTGTCCTGCTTGAGCGATTTAATCACCTACATGTGGTCGGTATGTAAAACCTAGGAGTTCTAAGAAATTCTTCAAACATGGGCTCTACCTGATTGGTTCCGTTACTTAAATCTGTTGTTTCTCTTGTTTGTTTTGGTCCTTATGGAGAAAGCAGAGGTAAACCGAAAGGGACTCTCTAGCAGTCTGTCAGCCACTCTCCCCTGACTTTGCCCTCTCCAACTCCACATATTGTTGGCTAGAATGCCTAGTTCTCAAGCGTGTGGAGGACCCAGTTCTGGGAGTTAGTGGTTTCAGCTGGCTCTGAGCCCATCTGAGTGTGTTGTGATGGCTCCCAAAAGAGCAAATGCTGGTGGAGGCTGCATTAATAGAAAGGCAATGAGCACATCAAAGGACATGGTCTTGCTGCCTGACTTAGCAACAAGTAGAACATAATCCGGACTCTAGAAACTGTAGCTACTTTGAGATCATAAAAAACTAGAAAATAGGAACAACCACAAGGCAGGCTCTCTCTGTCAGGCCTGGATGTGCCATCACATGAAGACAGGTTTGAAAAATCTTCACAGAATGTCCGGAGATGAGGAGGTGCAGGGGAGAGAAAGCTTTTCTCTACTCAGCTTTTGAACATTCAAGAACTCTTGGGTAGAAAAGAGACAGATTTGTTCCTTAGTACTCTGCAGAGGTTACCAAGGATCAGTGGAGGAAATTTTGCTCAATACAGTTTATTCTTCCAAGAAATACCAAGCACCAACCATCTGTAAATTAACAGTTGAGTGTGAAATGGGTTGCCTAGAAAAACAGTGCACTCGGTCATAGAAATATTCCAGTATAGACAGAGTGATTGTCAGGAATACCATAGAAAGAAGATTCTTTCCCTGTGTGGGAAAATGGATGAAATGGTCTCCAAAACCTCTTCTAGCTCTTTAGAGTCTGGGAGTCCGTGAACCCTCAAAAGTTTCAGGGATATATGCAGAGGGTCCAAGGAATTCTCTTTGGCAGAAATGAGTGTGACTTAAAATACAGTCAGATCAAAGAAAAAGACCTAGTGTTCAATAAATCAGTAGAATGAAAATAGTAAACAATAATCTATTGTATATTTCAAAACAGCTAGTAGTGAATAATTTGAAGCCCTGACTTGATTATATATTACATAAATATAAATATATACATCTATTATGTATCAATTAAAAAATGAATGTAACTTAAGTTCGTTAAAAACATTATCACCTGTTCACAGAATGCAAACGGAATCCCTGCAAACCCTACACTGCCACACTTTCTGCCCCAAAGACAGCCCCCAGGGCGTAAAGATCAAGCAACTGGCAATTGCAGTAGAAATACTAAAATCGTAACAGGTAAATCTCAAAAGACTTGTTTCCTTTCTGGATATTGAAGTACTCTACACATAGATAATGTATGTGTATTAATATAAAATACTATGCAGTGCAGTAAGGCTGGCACCTCTGTGGATCTGTCTTGCCCTTGAGACTTTGAACTCCTTGAAAACAAGGATTCTGTTTTATTTATGTCTGAATCCTCCATGCTTAGCACAGTAGCTGGCACGCAGTTGATGCTCTGGAATTTTTTGATGAATTAATCTATTTTAGATTTCTCTTCCTTCAGCAAATTTGTACCAAGTTTTCAATAGACAAGTCACTGTCCTTACCCCAAAAGGAATTTTTAAAAAATGCAGGCTCACCATCTGTGTCCCCGAAAGATTAACAATCAATATGAGACAAAAAATATATACACCTAAGATAATTAAGTTACGCGAAAGCTCTTGACCAAGTAAAAAAAATGAACTTCTAGGCAAACGCACCACTGAACGCTCAAGGAAAGAGAGGAAGGGGAAGGGGAACTCTGATCCGCATGTAAGATGGAAATGAGGATGGCCAAACTTTTGGTTTCAGTTCTCAAAGGAACATTCACTCCAGTTCTGAGCTGAGTTTATTGGTTATCTTCAATCCTTCATGTAACAAGATACAAACGAAATATAAAAAGCATTTTAATTCTTTTCCACATAGTTCACCACATATTTTGAGGATAAAAAGGTAGCATTTGCAAAGGTTTGAGCAAGGGTTAAGTTGTACTGTTGGAAGCCAGAGTTCATGCATAAAATAAGAAAGGCACAAATTAGTCTTTAATAATCACAGAATTATCTAAGGGATGGCAAAGTTGGAATAAGTCACAACAGATTTTTTTTTTTTTTTAGTCTGTCAGTATTTTTGTAGAATTAAAGAAATTTAGACCCTAAAGGGACTTTAGAAGTCATCTGGTCCAGTCTCATCATTTTGCAGGTGAGGAAACTGAGCACAGAGAGGACAAACGGCTAATTCAAAATCATGGCACTGTGTGTAAGGTGGCATTGAGACAAGACTCCACGATTCCTCAGCATTTCCTTCAGTGTTTGCTCCTTCTCTACCTCCAGAGCTGTCAGAGCTGAACAGAGGAAAGGGCTCCAGTTGTTTGGAAGATTTCACATTTACCTTTTTTTTTTTAAGATGGAGTTTTGCTCTGTTGCCCAGGCTGGAGTGCAGTGGCGCGATCTCAGCTCACTGCAACCTCTGCCTCCTGGGTTCAAGAGATTCTCCTGCCTCAGCCTCCCGAGTAGCTGGGATTAAAGGCATGAGCCACCGCGCACAGCTAACTTCTTTTGTATTTTTAGTAGAGACGGAGTTTCACCGTGTTGGCCAGGCTGGTCTCGAATTCCTGACCTCAGATGATCCACCTGCCACGGCCTCCCAAAGTGCTGGGATTACAGGCGTGAGCCACCATGCCTATCCCACATGTACTTTCATAGTCACCTACATCTCTGTGAAGTAAAGGAAGGCAACACTCGATGCAGAGTCTTGGCAGGAAAAATTGTTGTATTCGTTTTTGCCCAAAGTTGAGATTTTACAAATTCTATGTCCAGTTGGTGGCCAAAATTTCACCTGTTCTGTCTCCCAGGTCTTTCCCAAGTTCATACTTCTATCCTCACTGTCATTGCCTTGGTTGAGACTCTCATTCCCTCTTACCTAGACACCCAAAATGCCTTCCTAGTTCCTCCAAATCGTGCTTCATGATATTGCCAGAGAGATGGTACCAGAATACACATCTGATCTGCAGCCCAGGCTTAGCATAGCCACGTAGGTTCCAAGACTCCAACTTGGACTATGTGACCCTTTACAACCTCATCTACCTCCCTGGCCCTCCACCAGCAATGTCCAAGGACAGTGCTCAAAATTTCTGGAAAAGACAATGTTCTTTCGCATTTATGTTATTTGTGTGTCCTCCTCCATCTGCCCTTGACACTCCCGCCTGCCCTGCTCATTCTTCAGAGATGGTTCTACCCTGCTCAAGCGTGAAGGCTTCCTCAGCTCCCCCAGCCGACTTAGTCAACACCTGCAAGCATGCTCTGGGAGCTGGTGGCACAAGCCTGTATTAATACATTGATCACATGCATTGTCATGATCTACTTTCTTCTGTGTACCTCCTTTCCTGGATAAGGAGTTCTCTTTGAGGGCAGAGACCATGTCTGGTTTATCAGTGAAATTGTCTCAGCAAATGTTTATAGAAAGAAAGGAGAGAAGGAAGAAGTGAAACTATGATCATAAGCAGAGAAGTTACTGGTAATTTTTGTTTGCTTTTGTGCAGAATTTTTTCATATTGTATGTATGTGTATGTATATTATAGTTAATGTTCCCACTTACCTCCCCCAGCCCTACTTCTTAGAGGTCACTATTATAGTTCACTTCTTCCAGATCTTTCAATACGCCTGTATAAAGACATGCAAGCATTTCGTTTTTTGTTAAATAAATATAGGATTATATTACACACATGTTCTACTGTTTTTGCTCAATACATTATGGGCACATATAAAGATCTACCTTATTTTTTAAATGACTGCATTATATTTCATAAAACATATGTGTGCCATGATTTTTTAACTTCCCCTTATGGACAAGTTCTGATTTTTTAATAGTTATGCCACAATACCTGGTAGCATGACTTTGTGTTAATCCTCTGAATACTTTCAGAGTTGTGGTGCCATCATCATTTATGTGGCGTCTGCAAGAGCCTGCCAGGGGAGTGATTTGCAGAAGCTGTGATAACATTTGCTTTGGTTCCTGTTCTGCCCCTGTTTCCTGTATTCTCGATTCCCTTGGCTCTTGGCTAAGGTTAGAAGCTGAAAAGGGACTTGCAGAGGACACAGAGTGAGCAGTTTCAGCAGGTGCTCTGCTAATGTAACAGGGAATGTGAGTGTCCTGAGACCCCTCTAAGACTCACCTTCCACTTACAGAAATTATTGCTTACACTAGATTCCATGAATGTGTGCAAGGTTTTTTTCTGTTTTGCAGTAAGTTAATTATTAACAGAACTGTGCTCTGAATGAAAAAGATGCAAACATGGCCAAATGAGAGTTAGAGGAAGTGTTTCTACCATTTGTCCCCCTTTTCTTTTTCTATAGGCATTAAACTGTCTAAGTAGCCCACGAATATGCCCATCTTGTAGGGGGATATTGTGTTTGTGGCAGAAGCATGAGGTTTACTTTCCAGTGAAGTAGGGGAAATGGTTTTTTCCGGCTTGGTTGTCTAAACTGCTAATCACCGGATTATCTCTTCCTGCTTCCCTGGCTTCTGTCTCTTGCTCTGACCTCCTGACCTCACGTGACCATCAGAAGGAAGCAAGGGAGAAAGAGGGACCCTGCTCCTGCTTTTAAGCCTGTTGCCTTCTCTTCTTCAAACCTGCCTGCTTTCTTCTGTCCCTGAGTGTGTGGGCCATTACTTAGATTTGACTCCTCCTGCCAATTTCTTTTTTACTTTCCCTCTTGCAGGACTCAAATGGATGCTAAAAAGCCAAGGAAATGCGATTTGACTCCCTTCCTGGTTTTGAAAGCAAGAAAGAAACAAAAGCTCACCTCTGCGAAGGTAAAGATCCTTGAATTTTCACTGGGGAAGAGAGGTATCATCCTGAGGACCTAGGGACTCAGGGCCCAGTGCTGATGGGTGTGCCCCAAGCACCTCTGGGGACAGTGCAAAGGGAAAGGTGTGGAGGATCACGCTGATTGGCAGGGCCAAATCTGGGTGGGTGTGGAGGGAAAATCAGCAGACGGGCAAGGCCTTCATCTAACAGGTGAGCTGTATTCGAGAAGACCCTAGGTGAGTGCATACATGGTATCTTTCATTCTGCTCTATATATGTGGGATCCTACTGGAAGTGTCCTGGAATAGTTCAAGAACACTTCCAGAAAAGGTCTGCTTTTTTCTTTTTTTTTTTTTTTCCCTTTGAGACGGAGTTTCCCTCTTGTTGCCCAAGCTGGAGTGAAATGGTACGATCTCGGCTCACTGCAACCTCCGCCTCCTGGGTTCAAGCGATTCTCCTGCCTCAGCCTCCCAAGTAGCTGGGATTACAAGCATGCACCACCACGCCTGGCTACTTTTTGTATTTTTAGTAGAGGCAGGGTTTCTTCATGTTGGTCAGGCTGGTCTCAAACTCCCGACCTCAGGTGATCCACCTGCCTCGGCCTCCCAAAGTGCTGGGATTACAGGCGTGAGCCACCGCGCCCGGCCAAGATCTGCTTTTTTTCTAATACAGACATGGTGTCTTTCCTTTCACTCTGCCTCGAAAACTAGTAAAATGCCACTGCACTGAAGTTAAAATTGTGATGGGATGACTTTGTGATAACCATCTATGGGATCAACTTCTAAATCAGGTGTATTTTAAAAATCTAATCCCACTCAGTTTGCATTTCTTAGTGTGTTCAAAAGATCATATTGTTTGGGGTCTTTGTCCTGAAAGTTTTGCACCAAACTTCAGCCCAAAGCATTCAGGTTTGTTCTGAATCCTGCCTGCATCACTGATTGGGAGAACTGGAGTTCAGCAGCCTAACCCAAGGCCTAGCAAAAATGGTCCTCCTGTAAATCACATACACTTCCTTAAAATTATGACTTTAGGTTTCCTCTTCCAAGCACTGTTCCTGATTTAACTCTAGTGTTGTCCCCCTTGGGATTATAACTCATACAAATGGGCCCTAACGCAGAGTCCTTTGCTCCACCCCGCTACCCGTGCCATTACCACATATAACAAAACACGTTTATTTTGCAATTTATAGGTGCAATTTTTAATACCTAAAACAAATTTATTTTGATAAAATAAAAATTACTGTAAAATATTTGAAATAATAAATCTCCAGCAAAACATGGTAATATAATAAAGATGGCATTCTTTTCAAATGTTAAAATATGATGCAAACAGAACAATCTTGGTTATGCTTTTATTTTAGCAAAATCATCATGAGGTTTGCAACTTGCACATTCATTTATTTATTTATTTATTTATTTGTTTATTTGTTTATTTAGAGACAGAGCCTCGCTCTGTTGCCCAGGCTGGAGTGCAGTGGCATGACCACGGCTCACTGCAAGCTCCGCCTCCCGGGTTCACGCCATTCTCCTGCCTTAGCCTCCCGAGTAGCTGGGACTACAGGCGCCCGCCACCACGCCCGGCTAATTTTTTGTATTTTTATTAGAGATGGGGTTTCACCATGTTAGCCAGGATGGTCTCGATCTTCTGACCTCGTGATCCCCCCGCCTCAGCCTCCCAAAGTGCTGGGATTACAGGCGTGAGCCACCACGCCCCGCCGCAACGTGCACGTTTTTAAGCTGCTTGAGCGCACATTTATTGAGTACTGAGGTGACTCACACGTGCCTTAGCAGCAAGTGCTATTTTATCCCCAGTTTTACAGAGGAGAAAACTGATATACAAGCAAGGCCAATTAGCCCATGGTCATAATGCCAGTGAGTGGAGGACAGAATTCAAACCCATATTCTTTTTAAATTGTTATTTAAAAAATTTTTGAAAGTAGAGACAGGGTCTCGCTATGTTACCCAGGCTGGTCTCAAATTCCTGGGCTCAAGCCATCCTCCCACTTCAGCCTCCCGAACTGCTGGGATTACAGGTGTGAGTCGCCACACCCGACCAAATCCATATTCTTAACCACTGTCTTCCACGCCTCTCTGTTGCATGATAGCTCTGTTAAATGTTTTCCTGTAAAGTTCCTTACACATTTCAATGACTTTTAAAGAAAGCAAACTCTGTTGCAGTTACAATGACAGGAATTGTCAAAAATAAAGTAAGTCTGGGGCGTGATGATTCACACCTGTAATCTTAGCACGTGGGAGGCTGAGGTAGGAGGATCACTTGAGCCTGGGAGTTTGAGACCAGCCTGGGTAACATAGCAAGACCCCGTCTCTACAAGTAATAATAATGATGATAATAAATTAGCTGGGTGTGATAGTGCATGCCTGTAGTCCCAGCTGCTTGGGAGCCTGAGGTAGTAGGATCGCTTGAGCCCAGGAGGTTGAGGCTGCAGTGAGCCGTGCTTGCACCAGCCACTGCATCGGCCTGGGCAACAGAAGAAAACCCTGCCTCAAAATAAATAAAATAAGGGCCAGGCGCGGTGGCTCACGCCTGTAATCCCAGCACTTTGGGAGGCTGAGGTAGGAGGATCACTTGAGCCTGGGAGTTTGAGACCAGCCTGGGTAACATAGCAAGACCCCGTCTCTACAAGTAATAATAATGATGATAATAAATTAGCTGGGTGTGGTAGTGCATGCCTGTAGTCCCAGCTGCTTGGGAGCCTGAGGTAGTAGGATCGCTTGAGCCCAGGAGGTTGAGGCTGCAGTGAGCCGTCCTTGCACCAGCCACTGCATCGGCCTGGGCAACAGAAGAAAACCCTGTCTCAAAATAAATAAAATAAGGGCTAGGCCGGTGGCTCACGCCTGTAATCCCAGCACTTTGGGAGGCCGAGACTGGCGGATCACGAGGTCAGGAGATGGAGACCATCCTGGCTAACACCTGTCTCTTATACACATCTAGATGTGTATAAGAGACAGGTCTTGGGTTTCAGTGGACAGTTATGATACTAATTGGAGAAAGAAAATGAATTGTATGAATTATAATCCCTTCATCTAAAAAAAAAAACACTGAAGAAGAGAGAGCTGTGGATCTCACGATGCCTACTGCCTCAAGCAGGTGTTGAGAGGGCAACTTAAATATTTAAATAAATTAATCATAATTTATGTTTTTCACAACATTTAAAATTATAGATTATAAGTATAATATTTATAATAATCAAGTATTCACAGATTTTAATATGGATCTTGGTAACATTTCAGCCCAGGGAAATTTTAAAATGTGATTTCACCTGACTTTAAGACAACAGTGTGGCGCTCTCTCTCTAGTAATCTGGAGTTCTTTTCAGAATGCCCTATTCATTGGACTAACACGGGGTAGAACCTTGATGCCAGTGGAGGGCCCCTATCCTTTCTGCTCAGCTGGCAAGAACTCTCAGGAAAATGCTCCGTGTTGCATTTCTCGTAACTGCCGGCAGGGGAAAAGAGGCCCTTTGGTCCTCAGTCATCTCACCCAGTAGGCTGGAGGACATCCGGCTTTTCTGCATCTCAGCGTTGCCTCAGCTGGTTTCTGGGACTCAAGGAGCTAGCTGAGCTCCAGGATCACAGGTTAGGCTATACCAGGAAGAGAACCTGGGAGAGAGTCCTAGGGATGGAAGCTGGTAATTTAGGATATTACATTACGATCTCCTCGACAACCACAAGATGCTACAAAGCACATCCAGAATCACACTGAAGACACATTTCTAGTTTCAGCACCGAAAGCACAGGTGCTTTTTCTCTGTTAATTTCTTAGAGCCTTTCAATCATTCGCTTGCTGTATATCACCTCCTGAGAGAGGCTTTCCTTCCCCTCCCTTTCTAATGACAAATCTGTTTGCTTACTCGTTTGTTGTCTCTCCTGCCCTCCAGAACTGCACCGTCCGATACGGTGGCCCTTGGCACATGGCCCCTGGCATGTGTCCTACTGGGGGTGTGCTGTGAGTGTCAGATATGCACCAGATTCCAAACACTTGGTGTGAAAACAATAAATGTCAAATGATGTATTAGTAATTTTTGTAGTTGGGTTTATATTTTGTCATATTGTATCGTCTTTTATTTATATCATATTGATATAAATTTACATTTTATCGTATGCCCTTTAATGCGTCAATAAAGTTGTAAAATAATTTTATATTGTTTATATGTTAAAATAGTATTTTGAATATAATGTGTTAAATAAAACACATTATTAAAATTAATTTCATCTGTTTCTTTTTATCTCTTTAATGTGGCTACCAGAAAATTTAAAACGATACTCATGACTCACATGATGTTTCTATTGGATAGTGCTGGTCTAGAATGGACACTGCACAATGGCAAAGGTTTATTGGACTGGCTCAGTGCCAGCTCCCTAGAACTTAGGTCAGTGCCTCTCACAGACTAGCACTTGATGTGTCCTTGTGGAATAAAAACTAGGAGTGTGTTTATTCATTTGTTTCCTCTACAAATATTTACTGTCGACTCGTTTCAGACATTGTTCTAGGGGCTAGCGATGCAGTGGAGAACAAAACAGGCCACAAAACTCTCATAAAGCTTAAAATTGGGCTTCTTTGTAGGAAGATCAGATGTTTTGATTAAACGCTGAGAATGGTAATGACTCACCTTCATTTTCCCTGGCAGTTAAAGAGTTGGAACTGAATCGACCAGTGGTTCTTAGCCTTGGTTGTATATTGGGAACACCCGGGGAAGTTTTAAACACTACTGAAATCAGAATCTTTAGGGGTCATGGACATTTTTTAAAAAGTTCTTTTGTATCGTGTGGGGACAGGTGTCCATTTCATCACCAGCTGTGAGACCTCAGTTAGGTCATTAAGTCTCTGACGTTTTGCTGTTTGTGAACCTGGAATAATTGTTCCTATATCCCCTGATTGCAGTGGTATTAAATGAGGTAAGAGAACGTGAGCTCTCCGGCTGGCAAATGTTGGAAGCCCAATAAATACTGGTTGCTTTTATCTTACGTCTCTCCATTTAACAGAAA